GCAGTGACAGGCTCTTCTTCCCTTTTCATTTCCTCGTAGAAAGCATTCATAACTGACACAAAGGGTCTTCACACAAGCCAATCACACAAGTGGGCTCGCAATGCCACAATCAATTAGAGAAACACTCTCATAATAGACACTGCATTGGTGAAAACCACGTTACCAAATACAACACGCAAAGGGATAGATAGGATCTCCGCATGTGACACCCTCTCCCATGCCATGCCGTGCTGACTCTGTCGGCTGACTTCCGTCGGCGGCCGTTCTCACGCTCCAGACCTGTCAGCTCTGTCATTAAATGATGCTTCGTAGAAGCCTCCTTAAGAACGGCGAGTACACCGTTGGGCTCTAAGCGCTTACCAGGTGTGCATGCGACAGCGAGGTGCCCCAACATTTTAACAACACTCGGTAATGACGACCCGCGCGGAAGGTTATGCTCAACCACCAACGAAATCCATGCACGGCTCGAGCGCTGCCAGCATCCGCCCACATTCCGCCAACCTGCCACGCTGCACGCGGGGCCGAAGCCTGCAATGGCTTAATCATGGCGTGTCCCACACTGACCATATAGCAGTGAAACTGCAGGGGGTACCGTAAGAAACGGAGTCACCTGCAGCAGCTCGTACCGAAACTGCAGGCTGATATGCAGGTGACAGAACCGGCCCCGGATGTTATCGCATTGCAAGAGATGTCTACTCTCTCCACCCTCCCCAGTTACGTGGCCTACCATTAGCTTGATACGCACGCTTTACTCTGCACATCCACGCTCGTTCACAAAAGCCTCACAGCTGTACAGCACGAATTGGAAGCAACGGGCATTCCGCATACTATCATACAGATTCTACCAAGCAAACGCACAGGAAAGTCGCTCTTTGTCCTGAATGTGTACAGTTTACCTCGTGAGAAATGGGCAGATTCTGTCGCCTCTTCACTGAGACAATCGCCCACGTCGGAGACGCACTGCTGCTCTTGCTCGGTGACTTTAACACACCAAATCCGGATCGGGGCTACACGCACATGGATCAGAAAGGAAGAAAGCTATGGTCATTAGTACAAGACCTTCGCCTTACCTTACTTACAATCCGCAGCAGCCGCCCACCCGCATAGGCAACAGTGTGTGCCGTGACACATCACCGGACCTAACACTGTTCAAGAACGTTACGCGTGCTACTTGGGACAACACGGGCATTTAGTAGGCAGTGACCACAACATCCTCGCAATAACAATTCAAATGCGGCTCAGCAAGAAGCCAAAACCCACAGCTCGCAATACCGATTCGCCGAAATTCCGCAAGTTGCGTGAAGCACAAGGCTCCGACACCATTACGGATATCATTGAATGAATCGCTTCCTTGCGAGAGCACGTGCAGGTCACAACCCGTGAAGTGGAGACTACCATCGACTTGCCCACAAGCGACTTTCGCCTCCTCCACATGTGGGACACACACGCTGGCCTCATGTGCAGGTGGCCCCGACCGCGTCACAACAAGAAATTACGCCGCCGCATCAAAGCGCTAGCGCGCGAAATTGAGAACCACAGCCTCACCCTCGCGAGACAGCAGTGGGGTGAGCTGTGTGACAATCTCAATTGGCAGATAAGCTCTAAGAGAACGTGGCACGTTCTGCGTCACTTGCTCGATTCCTGTGCGTCCAAGTCGTCGGCAGAAAAACAGCTTCACAGGCTGCTACATCGTTACGCTGGCACGGATGCCGAGCTGCTCGAAGAGTTGGCTCGTCGTTACGTGAACCTCGCCCAGCAGAACGCGCCGCCAGAGTGCGTTCTGCTGGGCGAGGTTCACGTCACAACATGTGCTGTCCTTCACAGACAAGAAAACGTGGGAAAATCCACTGGCTACTGTCGGCGCCAAAACGCGCTCTCAGGAGTGCTGTCTGATAAATATGTAGTACAATCTGGCTTCTGCGCATTTTTGTTAAAGACACAAAATAGTCATTGAAGACGTTAGCTAAATCAGCATTGCGAATAGTGCCACCGTTCACCATAAGCTCATTGGGCCGAAAGTTGTTACTTTTACGACCAAGGAACTCATTTAGTCTTGACCAAGCTAGCTCTGATTTGTTCATTACTTCATTGTTGAAGGTGCTGTATAGGTACTTTCACTTTTCCTTGCGCAGCATACTGTTAGCTTTGTTTCTTTGGTCTTTGAAACGTTTTAGCGTCTCTTCATTCTTATTTTTCAAAAGTGTTCGAATACTTTAATTATACGTTTTATTTACTTGATGCAATATTTAGTTACTCAAGGTTTTTTAGCTCTGTGCGCAGGCTTCTTTTCTTTGTACGGAAAGCATTGCTTATATATTTTTGTTAGTTTTTCGTGGAAACAGTTGTAGGCACAATCAGGAACCTGCTCACAAATAACGTCTGAACAATCAGTCAACAATATCTGTCGACTAAATGCAGATAATGTGGGCTCATTAATATTTTGAAGAGCTATTGATTGTTTTTGTTGTGACTGAGAATGAAACGCTGTATAGTTTGTAGGTTTATAACCATAAATATGGTAAGATGGTCACTAATGGGTGCACTCAGTACGCCAGAGAAAGAGTTTGTAGCTTCTATTTTAGTAATGTACACGTCGAGTAATGTAGCGTTATTTTCTTCAATACAAGTCGGAGTGGTGAAAACTTTAGCAATGCCATTGGACTCAATTCTGTGACACCTGCAAGGACTAGCTCACAACTAGTTCCACCAGTCCAACCTTAATATGAGTCTAAAAATTTCAGGAAATTTGTCTTATTGCCACAAGGAGGGGTATATAAAACAACAATAATGGAATGATCACTTTGTACAGTCAGAAGTTCATAATCATCAGTGACGCGGAAAGATTCTTGAATCAAATATTATTTAATGAAACTCTTAGCCATCAAGAACACCCCGCCACCGATTTTTCCGGCACGGTTCAAGAAATAAGTTGCATCGCCTGGTATTATCAAAACTTCCGTTTCATTTCGGTACCATGTCTCAGTTATCATAAGATATTCAGGTTCAGAACATAGAGTTGTCAAGAAAGCGCTTAATTGATTTACCTTATTACGTGCTGAATGTTCATTAAAATGAATGAATTTTGTGCTGTTTTCCCACATCGAGAATAATGCGCTTAATCTATCTAGTCACACATAATCGTTCAATGTCATGTTAGTTTGATAACCGCCGTTCGGTTGATGACTAGTGACTATTCCTTAATAACAGACAGGTGCTGAATGTTGGCGATAATGTGGACTCTGCTATCCTCAGTATTTTGTGCCTTGATACGACTATTGTCAACCAATAGAAATTTCTAGCGTTTTTCTCTTTTCAGAGAAAGCACTTGTGCGAACAGTATCTTGTTCTCAGGCATCAGACGTTCCGCGACACTTGCTCGATTCCTGTGCGTCCAAGTCGTCGGCAGAAAAACAGCTTCACAGGCTGCTACATCGTTACGCTGGCACGAACGCCGAGCTGCCCGAAGAGTTGGCTCGTCGTTACGTGAACCTCGCCCAGCAGAACGCGCCGCCAGAGCGCTTTTCCCCACACAGTGGCAAACCGAACCCCCGACTGGACGAAGATATTACGGAGGCGGAAATCGACGCCGCAATGCTCAAACTTCGCACAACGTCGAAGCCTTGTCCTGATGGCGTAAGCAACAAGTCCCTCCGAAATCTCCACGTGAAATTGGTGGCTGCGCTCACGGGTACTCTAATGTGTGCTGGTACTCGGGACACATACCACAAGAATGGAGACACGCGAGGCTCGTATTTATCCCATAACCAGACAAGAAGATCAACATTTATTTATTTATTTATTTATTTATTTATTAGAATACCCTCAGGGCCCGTAGGGCATTACAGAGGGGGTGGGTACAACATATATAACACACAAGAAAAAAAGACAAAATAAAGAAACAAGTATCAGATGCGCAAATCAGGAAGGCAACATAAGTCAACTAAAAATGTATAAGAATTCAAGCACATACAAGACAAAGATAGATAATGGAAACTGCGTATAGTTACAAGCATTGCTGAGAAATTGCAGTCTTGAATAACAAAGGGTCTGTTATTGATACAACATTGACAACCTACGCCCCACATCACTGACGTCTTGCATTGGGAAGCTAATAGAACACGTTTTCCTTGCCTTATTACAGACCTACATTGAAGAAAATGACCTTCTCTCTCCCACGATTCTCGGCTTTCGCGCCCACCTATCGACGCAAAAAGCGCTAGTGCAAATACACCACGACCTCCTTCGTACACCGCCGAAGACCGGCACTCGCGCCGTGCTCGGTCTAGATCTCCGTAAGGCATTCGACTCAGTGCGACACGAAGCCATCGCCTCAAACCTTGCCGCCATTGACCCGGGTGAACGTACGTACAACTATGTGACTTCTTTTCGAACCATACCATTGAAATATCGTCAGCCGGTGGCTCCGCCTCTAAACACCTCACACTCGGAGACAGAGGCATCCCTCAAGTAGCGGTTTTGTCTACTTTTCTATTTAACCTTGCTATGCACACGCTGCCTTCTTCACTTGATGGCATTCCGGGCCTTTGTCATACCATCTATGCAGACGACGTCACGCCGTGGACGACTACAAGTTCAGACGGCGAGATAGAGGCCACCAATGAATTGGTAGCCTCCGTATAACTCTTCAGGGTGTTCAGTGAGGTCTTCGTGTCCACAATACCTTGTTGCAGAGTATTTAAATGGATTTGAATTGCACGTCTAGGGTCGCGAGAGCCGCAGATCCTGCTTTAGAGACCGCCGTAGCGATATCGGTTTCGGCATAAAGCGACGCGGTAAAGGTGTTTGCATTGCACTTACCCGCGGGCTGCGATTGCGCCTAGGATGGAGAAGAGACAGCCTCCGTCGGTTCCGACGCTGTTTCGGCTGGTTGCTCAAGGGTTTTGTCTACTTTTGCTTCTAATGACTGGATGTATTGTGTGAGGTTTCCTATCTGGAACATTAGTTTAGAGAGCTGAGACTGCTGCGAGGAAAACTGTGCCTTAAGTGAGGAATTCTGCCTTTACCTGTGGGTCCAGCAACGACTTCCGTGATGCTTTGAGCGACGCTGGGGGTCCTTGGGCCAAGGCAAGCTTCTTGGGACCAGGCACGGATGATGACTGCGACAATCCCTGGGACGAACCAGGAGGAGGAGAGAGGCTATGAGGACGAGTTGAGGTAGCTAGCAGAACAGGACCACGATCGGGACTTGGACTGTGATTTGGACCGGGGCCTGGACCTTGAATTGAACCGGGGCCTGGACCGGGACCTCGACCGGGACCAGTCACGGTTGCAGGGTCCGGAATGGTCTGTTTGTTGCTGCTGCTGCGGCTGGCCGAAAGGCGGTACGACTGCTCTTGGCACGGTGAGTGATTGGTGCGAAGGATTTATGGCTGCTGCAGTTGTGGCTCTTCGTCGGGTGCTTGCGCCGGTGCGTGGCTGGACGGGGTAGGCTTCTTAACGAAACAGTAATTGCAGTTTGAACTGTTCCTTGTGTGACCACCCTTACAAACGATGCAGGGGGCAGGGCATGTCGGTGGGGTGCCCTATGGGATCGGCGGGTGTTCCTCGCGACGGGTGCTAGCGCCGGTGCGTGGCGGGACGGGGTAGACTTCTTAACGACACGGTATTTGCAGTTTGAACTGTTCGTTGCATGACCATCCTTACAAACGATGCAGCGGGCAGGGCATGTCGGTGGGGTGCCCTAAGGAATCGGCGGGGGTTCCTCGCGACAACGCGCACAGCGGTTGTGTTTTGGATGAGGGCGAACGTCAATTCAATTACCCACCTTGTGGCAGTTAAAGCCTGCTTCTACTCTTGGGTATAAGGGGTAGAAGCGAATTTAGACGCCATGGTAGAAGATCCATCGTGCCAAACAATCTTCAAGAATGGCGACGAGTACTTGCTTGGTACGTCCCTTGCGACGGCCACCCACGACAGGCATAGTGCTGTTCCTCTCTTGCAAGTCCTTCAAGATTTCTGCATTAGTAAAGCTGTCATAGGCTTTGAACATGATGCCGCGAAATGCATCGTCGGGTGGTGGGGCGTAAACGTGAAATTCGACAGTCTGGACTCCGATCTGCAGTGACGTGATGCGAAGGTAGGCTTGTGCTCGGACGGATTCTCGCACGCTAAGGGTGAAGGTGTTGTTTAAGGAGTTAACCCGCACTTTAACGCGGCACGCTGGTGGCTGGTCTGGTAGCGATGCGGCCTTCAGCAGGGCTTCGTACAGTTGTCATACCGGCAGCTTCGTGAAGTCTGCGGGAGTTTTTGTCCGTCCCACAATGTGGATGGCGGCAGGTGGCATCCTAGGTAGTGAACCATGTCTTCACAGGGGCGGCAGGCGCGGTTTCAGGTCGTTACGAGGGGGCGTCGCTTGCTGGGCGCCGTTCAGGTGCGGTGTTGCCTGGCGGAACTCGAGGCGTCTCTTGTCCTGGGCGCAGAAACCAGGCGATGGCTGCCAAGAGCCGTCCGACCATTCTTCTGCTGGAATCGTGGTTCCTTCAGCCATGTACTCCATGTAGGGGGCGACCGGGCACGGCAGAAACGCAGGGAGAAACGCTAAAGCACTCGCAAAAAGCCTACGCGAAAGAAAGCGGGAGCGTTGCAAGAGACGCGAGAGCGTCTCTCACAGACGCGAGAGCAAGAAACGCAAGTCCGCTCTCTTCGAAAGCTCGAGAGCCACGACGATGAGGAATAATGGCCGAAGCTGATGTGGGTCACATACCGGGTGTTCAAAATTAAGCTTTATGATTTTTTTAAAATTAGGCGCTCGAAGGCACGTGAGAACCACTTGTGCAAATAAGTTAAGCGGCCAGGGGGACAGAAAGTTAGATGATAATTATCGCTGTCAGCAGCCCAATTAACTAAAATTTAATAATTAACTTTTTACTGGCTGCGGTAAGTTGGCATGTTTATATTGAAAAAATGTAGGCAGTGGTGTTTGTACACAGTTTCAGTTGGAAGATTTTTCTAGCACGCCTGTGTTCCGAGATATCCGGCTCCAAAGTTTAATTGTCTTTCGCACGATTACGCATGCAAGAGGGTGAGGGTCCGCGCAAAGCTCCTCCCTAAAGTGACGCATCTGTTGCGTGTGGTGTTTAGTGTGTGAAGAGGGTGGAAGCGTAGGCATAGGTGATAGCAATTACCCTTGCCCTCTTCGGCCGGCGAAATCAAAATGTGACAGCGCGGTGCGCCATGAGCCTTACGCATGATCCTGATGAACGCGATAACAGGAGACCATTTTTCGCGACGTTTTTTCGTGACTTTAGATCACACTGAGACATCTTCTTGTGAACGCGTTAGCAGGACCGTCCTGCACTAGGGTGCCTCCGGTTAGAGCACAGCGTCTCTGCATTGAAGGTCTACCAAGGAAATCCACGTGGAGTCCTTTCGAGCTAATATGGCTGCTTCTGGCGTGAGGTATTCTACCAAAGTAAAAGTAGACGTGGTGCTTGCAATGGCTGAAATGAATGGCAACGCTTCGTTAGCAATGGAGCTTTACGCGTCTCGCCACCCACACCGTCCCCTTCCAACAAGGCCCACTTTCACAAACCTGTTTCGACGCTTCTGCACAACAGGCTCTGTCCACCTTCCGAGACGGACCAGGAAGGCAATCGTCGATGAAGACTTTGAAATCGACGTTGTCGCGTGCGTAACCTCGATGCAGAGCTCAGCATCCGACAGATTGCCGATCAGTGCGGTCGCAGCATCGGAACAGTCACAAATGTTTTAAGAAAGCACAAGTTCCATCCATATCACGTTTACCTTCATCAGGACCTAAATGAGGCGGACTTTGAAAGGCGAGTTGACTTCTGCAATTGGGGCCTCATCAAAACTGATCAAGAAAATGACTTTTTGCACAGAATAATTTGGACTGATGAAGCTCGGTTTTGCCGAAATGGAAGTGTTAATCTTCACAACGCCCATTATTGGGCACAAGAAAACCCACACTGGCTGAGGCAGCACAAGCATCAAGTTCGCTGGAGTGTGAATGTGTGGTGCGGCATACTCGGGGACAGGATCATCGGACCTCACTTTTTTGAGGACAACTTGAACGGAAAGATGTACACAGAAGAAATATTAGGTGTTGTCATTGATGATCTTGTCTGCAGTCTTTCCCTGAATGACCTGCGCCAAGTATGGTTTCAGCACGATGGAGCACCACCACATTTTTCTACCAGGGCGAAGAACTGGTTGGACAGACGTTTTCCACAACAGTGGATTGGGCGCGCAGGAGCGATGTTTTGGCCACCAAGATCACCTGACCTTTCTCCGCTCGACTTTTTCCTTTGGGGCTACGTTAAAGATCGAGTTTACGTAACAGAGCCCAGCGATGTTAATGACATGAAGGACAGGATAACATCTGCCTGTGCGAGTATTCCTGCAGAAGTACTGCGCCGAGTCATCGAGTCGACGCGACAGCGGTTCATGCTTTGCGTTGCTGCCGAAGGCAGGCATTTTGAACACTTTTTGGGGCATTGACGTCTTGAGAGGTGAAGAGTTTCGATGAGATTTGTGCATGACCGAAATATGCTTATGTAGCAGCAGGAAATATGCGTTAGCAAGGATAAAACTGTTTCAGTTATTATTGGTGGAGTTGTTGCTCTTGTTTCAATAAAAGTTACAGTACTCGGACATCAGCAGTCACGCTATTCGCGTAGCCCAGGCAACGACCACGCATGCTTCTCTAGTGATTATTACGCACGCGCACTGGCATCCAGATTCTCCGCTCGCACCATTATCTCGGCATGGTATCTGCCACTATCGTTAGAGGCTCTGCAGTTGCGTGTTACGACACTGGTTGCAAGCGTTCTTCGATTTTTGATTTCGACGGCCGAAGAGGGCAAGGGTAATTGCTATCACCTATGCCTACGCTTCCACCCTCTTCACACACTAAACACCACACGCAACAGATGCGTCACTTTAGGGAGGAGCTTTGCGCGGACCCTCACCCTCTTGCATGCGTAATCGTGCGAAAGACAATTAAACTTTGGAGCCGGATATCTCGGAACACAGGCGTGCTAGAAAAAATCTTCCAACTGAAACTGTGTACAAACACCACTGCCTACATTTTTTCAATATAAACATGCCAACTTACCGCAGCCAGTAAAAAGTTAATTATTAAATTTTAGTTAATTGGGCTGCTGACAGCGATAATTATCATCTAACTTTCTGTCCCCCTGGCCGCTTAACTTATTTGCACAAGTGGTTCTCACGTGCCTTCGAGCGCCTAATTTTAAAAAAATCATAAAGCTTAATTTTGAACACCCGGTATAATAGGGGAACAAGAACAGGCTTTTGTATTGGCTTGGAGCATTGGATGACCCACTCGTTACGCTATTTGCAATGTGCAACGACTGGTTGTTCTTTCGCTGTTTTATTACGCTTTATAGGTCGTAATAAATCGATTGCTTTCCCGACATCAAGCCTGCCTAAGACAAGTCTGACAACATGTCAGAAGTACCGGTGTGACTCAGTGGTAGAATATTAGGCTGGCACCCAGTGGACCCAAGTTCAAACTGCACTGTGTCATTAGTGCTAAGTCAAGCATGCCTGAGACAAGTGTTACTACAAGTTACAACCACCGGCGTAACTCAGTGGTAGAATACTGGCCTGACTCCTAGTGGACCCAGGTCTCACTGTGTCCCTTGCCTCACTGCCTCACTGTGTCATTGGTGCAAGTTTTTTCTTTTCATTTTGCGCGATTCGGTTACGGACACCAGTGGAGGCGGACAGCTGCGTGTGATCCGAGTTGTGATCTCATAACATCTTTTGCTGTAAAGGTAGCATAGCAAGGAGCGTATGTCATGTCGACAACTTTAAGGCGGCATTCGTAGAGTAATCTTGCGTAACACTGGCAGACACAAGCGGTGACACAGGCGTAGTCGAGGACCATACAGTTAGCTCGCCTCAACGTGGCGCAATGATTACGTCATGTCAAAGTAGAGAGTGTTGCGTTCCGTGCAAAGAGCAGGAAATGGCTACGAATTCAGTCAGTTCAGAAAACAAAAAGTAAATACATGAAGGAGTACGTGAATTTTGTGCAGGCCCAGTAGAAAACTTGGAGGGAGTTGCAGCAGTGTCTGTCTGCGTGCAGCGAGCTGTAATAACAGATGCCGTTGGCGTGGTTGATGATCATGTGATAACTATCATTTCAACATAGCAGTGTAGATATTTTATGGGTAGGATTTATACAAGTGAACTGACAAAGAGGGCAGGAAGAACTTTCACAGTGTACATGAAAGTGTCACAAAAGGAGCCCCTGACAAATGATGAAGTTGAATGCCGGGACGGGCAAAACATAAAGGTGTACTGTATTCACAGTAAAACGGCTAGCCTTGCAGGAAGTGAACAAAATTAAAGCACGCCGGTTTTACAGCATTTTTAAGCAATGAGGAAGCTCAGGTGTCTTCTGTTGCGTCAGCTGATCAGGAAATCGTTCAGGTTACAATCTTTGATGCGTCAAAGGCGTCTGGTCCTAGACGAGGCGATGATGTGACTAAACAGGGCAGGGAAGCGTTCCAGACCATTAACACTTGTAGGATACTGTTCTTGTCCAAGCATTGCCGCACTAAGGCAATCAACTTGTCGGACTGTCAGGCTATTCTGAGGCAGAAGAACTACAGAAAGGTTTTTGATCGTAAACACTACAAGGTTTTCGTTTTGCTTTCTCATGAAAGAAACAAATATGCTGTCCGTCTTGTGTGGGACTCTATAATCAGAGAGTCGAGTTCAAATAACCGGTCGCTGTATCCGGAGTTAGACCTTATGGACAAGGACTTGCATCGTTTTTATATATCCTGGGTTTAAAAGTACAGTTTCTTGGGAACTCTAATTTTTAGTGTTAGGCAGGACGCTGTAGCTCTACTGTGAAATTTGTACTTTACTTTCAGCAGATTCTGTGTTAACATTCAAGGTACAATGAGTGGTTGATTGTGAGATCGTAGTGAACGTTTGGCAGGATGTGTGTCGTTTGTGGTGAAACGCACACTTATCTGTAGTTTTTACATTGCGGAAAAAATTATGAAAGGGGGCTTTTTTGATGTGAATGAGCGCGTTTAAAAGTGGGTGATGCCATCGGCCTGAACCAAAGAGGACGCCAAAGATGAGTTGCGGCATGTAGGGGCGTGGACATTTTCAGCCAATGAGGTGCCTCCACGGAGATTTAGGACAGCCTCGGGAGAAGAACAGCGAAGCCAGACAAGCGTGGCTGGGCCAGGACCAAGTGAAGAAGGTGGCAAAGGCGTGGGGGTGGTTGCCAGCAGAGCTCCTGCATCAAGGTCGCTGCGGGCTTCCACCTGGACGCAGAACTTCTCGTCGCCTCGCGTATGACAGGCGTGTTCTCGGGTCAGGCGTTGGCCAAGAAACATCTCCGACTTCATGTGAGCTGCGGCTGCCGAACACTGAAATTTCACTGACCTCAACTGGGCCAACGCTATTTTCCCTCCAAGGCAACGATGCAAAAGTCTCAACCTATTCGCCAGACTTCCCCTGCTGCACGAGTGCGTCTTCGCCGTT